GGGGTTGGCTATCCCAAGCTGAAGATCAAGTGCACGTTTGCTTAGGACAGAGAGGAGTAACAATGTGGCGCCCAGAGCTGTGGGAGAAAAAGCAAGAAATAGAATGCGAGAGAAATCTGACCACAACAACTCCAAGGAATTAAATAAAAATTCTTTTGGCTTGCTGGAATCTCACACTGCATATTCTTGGAAATGAGCGAGCCATAGGCGAATGCTAAGAATCTTTTATGATAAAGATATTCGGGTTGTAACATAACTGTTGTTATAGGATTTGATCTGAATAGGAAAAGAAACTAAACAGAGCTTTCACAACAGAGGTCTTTGAGGATGGATGGTGCTAAATCCCCAGGGGGAACATCAGCTCTAATAAAACTTTAGACTCCCAACCCTCCCATAAGGAGTTCTTGCTGGACAACTAGAGAGAGAGACAAACACGTGAGGACTGTAGAACAGTACACCAACTTCAGAGGCAAAGGGATGAGAGTCCAGGTCCTGGCTGTTCCACTAACTGTTGTGTGAACTTGGGGGAAGCCAGTTATGATTTCTGAGCCTCAGTGTTCCCATCTATGGAATGGGAATAGAGGAACACTAACCTACAGTTACGGAGAGGAGTGATGTTTGCAAAAACACCAGGCACAGTCCTTGGCACACAGTAAGTTCTCAATCAACACTAGCCTTTCCTTCTCTCCTGATACCAGCACTTTTTAAAAGATTTTATTTATTTATCTATTTATTTATTTATTTATTTAGGGGCGGGGGGAGGGGCAGAGGGATGGGGCGGGGGAGAGAATCCAAAGCAGACTCCGTGCTGAGCACAGAGCCTGATGCAGGGCTCGATCTCACAACCCTGAGATCATGACCTGAGCCCAAAATCAAGAGTCGGACGCTTCACCGACTGAGCCACCCAGGTGCCCCCATACCAGCATTTTTTAATGCAATTTTCTAACCATCATAAGAAAAAAATGTTTTAATTGCTTCAGTGGAAAAACATTGCGTCTTCTGGCCCATGAGCTATAGTGGAAAGATTCCTGGAAAGAGAATCAGAGGACTTCATGGATGTTCTACTACAGGACAGCACTCGGAAAACCCTGACGTCCTCTACAGAGGAAAGAACATACCACCCGCCATGTTAGTGCGGTTCATAGAAAATCATCTACGTCATTGTGCTATGGGGACCCCAGACTGTGGAGATCCGGCTGATGTGTGAGCCACGTCAGAGAAAACCAACCCCAGAAGGGAAGAGATGAGCCAGCTGCAGAGGTGGGGCTGGAAAATTCGGCAAACAATCCAATTTCAGTCGTGCGGGTGGATGCGCCCTCCAATCAGATGGAAACTAAGGGGTAAGCTCGTCCGCTGAATTGTTTGGGTCCTTTCTGAAACTAACATTGTCAAGAAGGAGAGCAGGGCGACTAAGTGGAGAGAACAGGGAATCTATCAGGGTTCGTTTATCGGTATTCAAGGAAGAAAGACACGAGAGATTGCAGAGAGGAGTATTCCAGATGCCAGAGAGGTGGACACCACTGCAGAACAGATCTACGACTTTTCCAGAATAAAGTCACAGTCAGAATCGTCATCGAGGCCAACTGGTCCCCCCTCTTCGGTTCTATTATCATCACCACAAATCACAATAATTACTATCATTATTAGCGACTGCTATTTCTGAACGCTGACCATTTACCGGGCACTGGGCTGAGAGCTGTATGTGCCTCTGGTCACTTCATCTTCCCCACATCCCATCCGCAAAGGGGGCCCTGTTATTGTGCCCATTTTGCAGATTAGCAAATAGCAATTCCAATTATCCACTTGGAAAATCCTTATCCTTAAGAATCCTCAATCCAAAAATCTTGAAGATCAAGGAAAGGACCTAAAGGTCAAGGATATTCCAGTCTCTCAGACAGGATCTCCCTTCCTGTATATGAATCAATATTTCTTTTTCTCACACTCAATAAAGCACAGAGGACACCGAAGGAGTCAAGAGAAGATGGGCCAGTCGCTCATAAACCTTGAAGCTGGACACAAGAGCCCTCCTCCCCAGCCTTCTTCGTGATGAACAACTTGGCCTTAACATCGGTTCATTTTCTGGCCCGAGGAAGAAGCAGACCCTGAGTAATGCAACAGCAGCTTAGAAGTGAGGGAAAACTGAGCCAATCAGAACAAATCCTGACACTGGTACAGGGGGTGATGATTTCACTTCCTGCTTCTTATTCTGTACAGAAGGGACAAGAAAAGACTTCTCAGCCATCACCCTAAAAAGGGGGGGGGAGAAAAAAGAAAAAGCCGCCAAGCCAGGGCTTGGCAATTAGTGTTGGAGTAAGTGATCATCTTGTGATTGCTCAGCTGGGGCCTGAAGACTCGTAACCGCATTTAGAGGACAGAAATAGAAGATGCTGTGAGAGAGCAGAGAAACCTGGCCCATTTGCCAGGAGAAAAATGTCCTGAAGCTGCCGGGAAATTCACTCTGTTGGGATTGGGGGTGTGTCCTCGTAAGTGGGAAAAGTTCATAAAGAAACCCATCGATGAAGCCAGCGCTTACACCTTGACCCTTTGACTCCTCTGTGACCCTCAGACTCCCCTGGAAGCCTCACGGTGCCTAGGGGAGCCCCTCGACAGGTGTTGAATTTCTCCTACCAAGCTGAGAATCCTAATGGCCCCTGATGTACAACCAGGCCCAAACTGGGGATAGATTGATAGTAAACCATCCTTCTTGCCAACAGCAAGTGCTTTGGCAAAAGCTGGCCAATGCTTCCGGGAGAAGACAGGGCCTGAGGTCACGGGCAGGCTTGCAGCTATCAACAGAACTACTCCGACCAGACCCCTTCTGCCCCCTAAACCCTGGGAGTCTTGCAAAACCCCATCAGCCTATCACGGCCACCACCCACCAGACCCCAGATCATCCCCAAGGAGACATGGGTCACAGCCTTCTTCCAGGACCTCAAGGGTAAGTCAAGGGAATGTTCCAGTACATTCCATTTCAGAAACACTTGTAACCTGAGATGCATCCCCACTCCCACCTCTGTGGCCCAAAGAAATGCGACGGGTCCCAAAGCCCCCTCAATTTCCCCGGGAGCTATGGGTGACACAATGCCTTGTAAGCTCTAGGGCATGAGCACCTAGCCACTGTCCTTGAGCGAAGGGGACAGAGCTCCTCCCAAGTTGACAGCTTCTCTCCCCCAAGTAATACCCTAGACCACAAATTGGCACTTCGTGTGTCCTCTTCTGCCCACGGAGCTGTTTCGTTTGGCCCATGGAGTTGAGGGGTTTTGTTTTTCATTGCCGAGCATTTAAAACTTGAGGGGTTTCACCGGACCTTTAGCTCTTCTTGGAAAAAACAGTCAGTCTGGCAACATGAGGCCCTGCCTCCACAGAGCAATAGTCAGCTAGCTGACCCTGTAGCAGGGAACATGTGGTCCCCAGCCTCCACCGTCCCCACCTGACCGGCCAGGGGCGGTTAGCTTTGTGAACTTTGTATGAATTAGCACGAAAAGAAAGACTCCTCAGAGGTCAAAAGCTTTTTCCCCTGGGATATTTTACATTGAAATTCAAATCCCCAATAAAATAAACACCTGGGACAACTGGTCCAAAGCCCTCCTCTGGTCCCAGCTACACCTCCAGCTGCAGAGAACGCACATCGGGAGAATCTCCCCACAGATGCTCGCCTCAGAGATGGGGGCAACCGCTGGATGAGACAACTGGGAGGTCTGAAGCTGCGACCCTGGGCCCTGAGCAAGGGCCTTACAGTGTGTGCCATTCCCAGATGGAGGAAAGTTTAGAAGTGATGAAGTTTAGCACAAACAAGGGTGGCCATAACTGATAAATACACATACACACACACACACACACACACACACACACACATCACGCACTCACTATGTGCCTTCCCACCACAATCCTCCAGAAGCCCTTCTCCTTCTCTTCCTCCCTTTCTGCCACTTTCTGAGAGCTTCCCTCGGAGGCTCTGCCTCTTCAGAGGAGACTCCAATCCAGTGCGCTGCCCTTCCATTAGCAAATGCAAAGTGCCTCAGCCAGTACAACGGTCACGTGGACAAAGGAAAGACTCACCTGCCCATCACTGCTCCATTTTTTCATCCCCAAATACAACAGACCCCTCCCTCCCCACCTGGTCCCTGCAGAATCTCTGCTCTCTCGGGGAAGGTGCCCAATGGATGTCCAAGATGGCCACCGTCCTGGAAGAAGAGGTGACCAGACAGGAGGCACCCCCTGTGGGCACAGGAGGTTGGTGTTTCCCCTGACCATCTCCCCGGGCTTCCTCTCAAGCCCACCTTTTCCCCTCCCCAGGATATGGCAGTCCTCCCACTGAATCCCAGAGTCTTCCGTGGAGAACAAGGCTTGGAGATAAAGCAGTGAGCTCATTTGATTCTACCCTCACAGGTCCAACCCTGAGGAGGCCCCTCCACCATCAGACATGGAAGGGAGGGGGAAGGGTGGGGGAAGGGAAGTACAGACAAGAATCCCACCCGGAGCCATGTGGCCTGCAACTTGTCCCAAACGAAGCTGTGTGACCTCAGGTACAGGTGCCATTCTCGAAGCCCTTCTCCAGTGAACCCAGAGCCTACTTAGACATGGCGCTTGGTCTGGCCCTGCCTTCCCTCTTCTTCCAACGGCACCCAACACACAGGGACACACGGACACACACTTAGGGACCCAAAAATGGTCTCAGAGGTGTAGCATTCACATCCCAGATGAGTGGGATTTCTTATCACTTACATTCCCATAAAATTGCAAATGAAAAGCAAACAACCTTGGGAGTCAGGAGGCTCTAAGCCCTGGTTTAGGCTCCTCCTTCTGACAGGAATCTTAGAGATGCTCAAATCCCAAACCCTCATTTTTAAGAGGCAAAGTCTGAGGCCCGGGGCACACAGTGACAAAGCCAGGCCTAGACCCCAGGTCGCCAGCTAGCCCCCCTGCCCAGCACTCTCCCTGCCGTGTGTCTCCCCCCGCCCCCACCCACTCCCTGCAGCCCAGGACCCAGCTCTACTCACATATAGCGCAAGTGGGGGTTCTTGGCAAAGGCTCTGGGCTGGATGCTCCGAAGTCCTGAGTTCTTGATGGTCCTGGAGAGAGAGAGAAAAACAGGGTCAGCAGAGCTTCCAGAGCAGAGGGACATCTGCTCCGGGCTGAGGCTGACAGGAGGTCATGGACCTCCAGACGCCCCTGTGAACTGAACGCAGTTCCTCATCATCAGCATCACTGGGTGCCCCACGGAGGGCATCTGGGCTCACCCCCACCACTGGGACCTGGGTGAGGTTTGGGATGAGCTGGCAACTGTCATCTCCTCATCCTGGCAAGAGGGTAACAGGTCTCCTGCTCAAGAATCTGGTCCAGCGACTACAGGGCTGCAACCCCCTTTGTGGACACTCCCTCCCCCACACCAAACCCCCCACGACCACTACCACTGAAGTCCAAAGGAAGAGGAGGGGCCTGGGGAATTTTGCAGGCTAGGGGGACCATTCGTGAAACATGGGGCTGAGGGAACATCACTAGCCGGGAGACCTGGGTTCGGGTCCTGCCCCGAATCCCTAACTACAGGTGAGACCGCACAGCCCCCTTGTCTTCTGGGCGGAGGGGAAACGTGGGTGGGTGAGCGGATGGCCTTTGAAGGCCTGGACACTCCCTAAGTGGGTGGTACCGACTCTACTAAAAGAGGAACGGAGGAGGAAAGTGCCGAGGGCAGCCCAGAGGCAGTGGGCTCCCCCCACCCGCCCACCACTCTCGGCCCTTCCCGAGGTCTGGTGCACTCACAGCTTTTGGAGGCCTGTGTAGAGCTCCATGTCCACGGCATTCAGTGTGTGCAGACCTCGCCAGTTCTCTATGTGTCTGCAGGGGGAGGAGGAAAGACAGGGTTCAGGTTGGCCAGGGTCCACAAGTAAGGTGCTGTCTTTAGAGCCAGAGAGACCTGGGTTCGAATCCTGAATCGCCCACATGCAAGCCAGGCCTTCTGCCACATGGCCACGTGTCTCTGAGCCACGGTTCCTCCCTCCTTGAGGGGGCTTGCACACCCCCTGCCTGATGGGATCGTCATGAGACCCAGAGCACCTGGCCCGGGGACAGCATTTAATGTCCCCTCTCGGCTCCAGAAAGCTCTCCTTTTTAAAGACTCGAAACCCAGCTTCCCCATTGGTCTTCACGACTTATCTACCTTCCACTCACTTTTGTTTTCCTTTGTGGGACTTCCTAAGGACAGCTCATTTTCTCATCTGGCCAGGAAGATGACACAAATGATGCGGGTTTAAAGAGGGGGAGGGAGAGGGTAGCTTGCGGGTGGGCATGGTTTTTGAGTGAAAAGGCTCAGAAGGAGTGTACACCCACTTTGGGGTCCCCCAGGGTCCAGACACTGACCGCCTCATTCGGGTGACCACAGCCCAACCCACCTGGAGTTCAAGGACAGATAGCTTGACTGGGCAGAACCGAGTCCAGGAAGGAAGGTGAGACCAAGGAGCCCAGTTCTGGCTTCACCTCTGGGACCTAAAGACCCGTGGCTTTGAGCCAGAACTCTGACCTCTTGGGTCTCCTGGGTCTCTTGTGTCTTCATTTGCAAAAGGAGAGGGTTTCCCTAGCTCAGCAGCTTCTCTTCTTCCTTGTCACAAAGATCTCCGTTTAGAGCTTTCTCCCAAGACACCTCCTATTTAAGGAGGTTTGTGTGGAGCAGGCACACTATACGTTTATTAAGTAATAATTAATTCGTCTTCTCGGATTTATTAATCAAAGATATAAATCACCATTCACCAGAGCTTTTTTTTTTTTAAAAGATTTTATTTATTTATTTGAGCGAGAGAGAATGAGAGAGAGAGAGAGCACGAGATGGGGGAGGGTCAGAGGGAGAAGCAGACCCCCCGCCGAGCAGGGAGCCCAATGCGGGACTCGATCCCGGGACTCCAGGATCATGACCTGAGCCGAAGGCAGTCGCTCGACCAACTGAGCCACCCAGGCGCCCTCACCAGAGCTTTTTATCAACGGATATAAACCAGCACTAACTCTCCCAGTGGATAAGGTCCACCCAAAGCAAAGGAACTTGAAAGTTCTATAAGCAAAGGAAGCGGGCTTGTCATAGGTTTGATTACTGCTCTTTTTTTTTTTTTTTTTGGATATTGACAAAATGCCAGGGACAAACATCCTCCATTATAGCTCTTGGGGTCCCCAGGTTAAGAACCATCCGGCTATTGATTTGTTAAGGCCCTTTCTGATTCTAGAGTTGTGTGAGAAATTACCACTCATCCACATCTCTATCCCAAGGAGCTCCAAGAGGCCTCAGGAGAAGGCCCTCTGATACCCACCCTGCCCTCCCAGGATCCGACGCTCCCATCAGCGCCCCCGACGTCAGAGTACCCTCTTCACTCACCCTGCAACCCACAGCTATCCGAGGCACACTGAGGCCAGAAAAGTGGCAGCCGCCTTCCCCAGACATCTCTTCCTTGGCCCCACCACACCCGTGGCTCTTCCATCTGCCACTGAGTGGAGCCAGAACCAGGAAGGCCGCAGGGCAGTGGTGGCCAGGGCCCCTGGAAGCATTTCAAAGCCTCACAGTGACAAGGTATGCAGAGAGCCCGTTTTGTACCACATTCTCTCGGGGCCCCTGCTGAGCAGCCAGACACACTGACATCTGCTGGGGACAGGGACCAGGTGGCCAGGTCGGGACTGAATTCCAACTCCAAAGTCTTCTCCCTGGAAGCCTATGGCCCCGGGGCGGTTTGCTTGGTCTGGTCCTGCCAGGGCAGGAACCCTGGCTCCATGTCAGGTGAAAAGGAATACCAGAAGGAGTAAGGCACTGTGCCAGTGCCCCCCGGGTGTATTCACCGGACCATCGGTCCAGTGATCTACCAAGTAGATCACGCTATTCCTACAGATGACCATTCATTCACCGGAGCCCACAGACTAGGGTCTGCTCCTGACAAGCAGCTATTAATCAGTTGTTTAAATAAACGAAATCATTTTCCTTCGCCCTCATTAGAAGCCCGTAAATGTGTTTTTATTTACGGCCGAGTTGTCAATCATCGGTGCATTCTATCAGTTTACCCTTTTTAGCCCTCGTGTCCTGATGGGCACACGCCGGCCCATCCCTGACGTAGGCTCACTCGGAGATACGGCGGGGCAACAAATAAACTCCTTGGTGCAAAAGGCTCCCTGGTCAAGAGACTCCGGCCCCTGCCTCCTCTGTTGGGTCTGAGGCTCCCCGTACAGGGAAAGAGACTTAGCACAGCCGCGGTGCCCTAGTGCGGTAAAGAGCCTGGACTCTTGAGCCGGGTCGAAAAGCTACAGCCTGCTGGCCAAATCCAGTCCGCCACCTGTCTTTGTACAGCCTGAGGGCTAAGAATAGTTCATACATAAAAAAAAAAAAAGCAGAATCCTATTTTGTGACATGTGAAAAGTGTACGAAATTCAAATTTCAGGGTTCCTACCCTTTCATTTAGTGTGGTCTGCAGCGGCTTTTGCGCTACAGAGATGGAGCTGGGCTGAGGAAGTGTGGCAGAGACTGGCCTTTTATAGAAGAAGCTCACCGACAGGCCCCTGCCCCAAGCCAGGCTGCCAGGATGCATATCCTGGCCCCGTCGCTACCTCTGTCCATGTGTGACCCCGTCCAAGGGACTTCACCTTTCTGTGCCTCGGTTTCCTCATCTGTCAAATGGGGTAATAAAATAGCCCCAGCGTAAGAATGATGTGAGAATCGAAAGGCCGTGTTAAAAAGCCCAAACGGAACGGCAGATCGGGACACACAGTAAGTCCTCAGGGAGCGCAAGCCGGGATGGTTATTTTTAACCCTGTGCTTTGTAGAAACTGAGCAGTCTTTTCCCAGTTTTCAAGCTAAACATGGCATCATGGTTCTGCTGGAAGTTGTCATTTCTCAGCAATCACTGATAAAAACTCCATTTGGCAGAAGTGTGGAGGGGCAGTTAATCTGTCATTCATGACCTCCAGGAAAACTGCTCAAGCAGAAATTAGGAACAGGTTCAGGGACTGCACGGCCGGCAGCTCAGAGCGGCTTCTGAGGCGAAGGTACAGCCTGACATTTGTGGATGACATCGGTGGGGCACCTGCCAAGTCCGCCGGTGACTCACCACTCGGTACCAGCCCCGGGGGGGTCAGCTGTGGGAGCTCTGGTAGCTGCTGTGTGCTACAAGTTTAAGTGGGGAAGGCAGCCTCTAAAAATATAACAAACAGGATAAATATGACAGTAGGTTTGGTTTGGTTTTGCTCGTGGTAAACAGTAGTTACCTTGGCCTCTAGTATGTGTCTTCTCCTTTTATTATGCTTTCCTGGGTGTCCAGGCTGTCTTCCCTGAGCACTTAACTTTGTCCCTTGAAAAACAATCGATGATGATCACTGTTTAAAGGAAGGTTCAGCATTTGAACCCCGTGGGGGGCAGTCGCTGGTCACCCCGTTCCAGGACCGCAGGCTGTGCCAGGTGTCTCCCCGCAGAGGCGTCTCAGGAACCCACCTCACCGTGGGAGAGAAAGAGCTCAGAGCCACGCCAGGAACTCGGGCTGGTGGGACTACGAGATTCTGCGTTCGTCCGCTTGGGCACAGAGTGCGTGGCGGGGCCGGCCCCGCAGAGATCCATTCTCCGTCTGCGTGCTTTCCTGGGGAGCAGGGAGGGGCAGGGGCAGAGAGGAGGCTCCCATCCTGGCTAAAGTGCCCCCACTTGAGTCACCTCTTATACAGTGGCACTCAGCAAGGGGCCATCCTGCCCCCCAAGGACCATTGGGAAATGTCTGCAGACATTTTTGTTGGTCCCAGCGGGGAGGAAGGGAATGATGCCGGCATCTAGTGGGCAGAGGCCAGGGATGCTCCTAAACCGTCCACAGATGCCCAGGACAGGCCCCACAATAAAGAATTATTGGCCCAGAATGTCCATAGTTGGGAAGCCCCACCTCATATAAGGTTTCTGCCTTAAGATCACTATTGAAGACTGTGTTCCATGGTTTGAAACAGCCAACAGTTTTAAAAATGACTGTTTTGGGGGCGCCTGAGTGGCTCAGTCAGTTAAGCATCTGCCTTCGGCTCAGTTCATGATCTCCGGGTCCTTGGATCGAGTCCCACGTTGGGCTCCCTGCTCAGCAGGGAGTCTGCTTGTCCCTGTCCCCTCTGTCCCTCCCCACACTCGTGCACTCTCTCTCAAATAAATAAATAAAACCTTTTTTAAAAAAAAAAATGACTGCTTTGAGCAAACCCTAAGAGGCCCCAGGCCAAAACCAAAAAGCTTGCCTCTAGGTCCCTGGGTCCAGGTGAGAGAAGAACAACAAAAGCTATGGCTCCCCAACCTCCTGCAAGTCAAGGGCATTACTTGAGAGGAAATGAGGGGCTCTTTGGTGCACTGGACCACGGCCCAATCCGGGTTACACACCCCAGGAGCAATAATGGTCTCCCTTACCCAGCTCTGGCTGGAACCCCCCACAGGAGTCTTTCCCTCTCACTGAGAGCTCATCTTCTGCAGAGCTTTGTCCTTCTCGGCAATGGGAAATGCTCCATCCAGAGAGTCAATGCAGTGCCCTGTCCCTCCCCTCTGGCCACTGCCCTTCCTTGACACCCCAGAATCATGACTCTTCACCAAGAGGGAATGTGCAACACTTTTCCAGAGAGAAGGGAGGCAGGGAGGCTTAATTCATGACAACGCTGAGCAACCAAGCCAGAGCCGGGCTTTGGGCTACAGCTCAGAAAACCTCAATGAGGCCTAGGTGAGCCTCTGTGGTCAAAGAACACGCTGCTGTCAGGTGGACCATGGTGTGCCGGAGCTGAGGGACCGTGCATGCGCCCAGCCTCTTCGGGAGTAGGAGAAAAACCACCAGAAATGAAGCCACTCCCAGTGACTCACAACGACAGGA